TGTAATATGATTGTACATATACATGTACATGTACATTGTACATGTACATGTATACATGTACATGTAAGGTTGAAAAATGAAGCATGTTCCTCCTTGTAAATTTATCAGTGATTGAATATATATTGCACCACCAATGGGAGCTTTATTATTTGAAATATTTATCTTGTACATGTACATGTACATGTACTTGTACAAGTACATGTAGATGTATTTTACTTACTTCCCATTAGGTAATGTATATCTACATGTAGATACATGTACTTACATTTTACTTACTTCCCATCAGGTAATGATAGATGCTGTGAGTGTAATGCCCCTGATCCCGAGTGGCTATCGGTCAATCTTGGTCTACTGATATGCATTCATTGCTCCGGGCGGCACAGGGAACTGGGTGTCCAGTATTCACGCATTCGATCACTTAAATTGGATGCTCTGAAAACATCCGAACTACTAGTGAGCCCTCTAATGATTACATGTGTGTACAGTAGTTTTGTTGTATCCATTTTAAGAAATTGTATTTACATGTACATGTACATGTACTGTATGTATGTGTTTTTTAGATAGCACGAGTGATGGGTAATGCAGTGCTTAATGAAGTAATGGAGGCTAATCTAACTGATCCTAAACCATCACCTGATTCTGACATGTAAGGAGAGATTTTTAGCAAAACTCAAGAGTTGCAAGAAGTGACAAATTAATTTTGTAATTTTTTTAGTGAAACACGGCGTCACTTTATTGTTGAGAAGTACACTAATAGAAAGTATATAGAGCACCAGGTGGACCCTTCAGTATTGAGCCAAGAGCTACTGGAAGCAATTGAGCTAAGAGATATCAAGCATCTCCTTCAGGTTAGTAACTTGTACATTAATTTTATGTACAGTATATTATACATGTACATGTACATTAATTTTGTATTGTACATGTACATGTATGTATTTATACATATTAGTTTTGTATGCATTTATACATGTACATATACATTAATTTGTATGTACATGTATTTATACATGTAGTCATGATACAT